CCCTAAACCCTAAACCCAAATATTAGGGCCCCCTTATTTTCGGAACCTCCCACTTGGTGCAAGCCTTCCCGGCTGGTGCCGCCAAAGCGACATCGGAGGCGAGCCTGGCATCGGAGTCTGTTTGAGGTGGGGGCCTTTAGAGTTCAGGGTTTTGGGGGTTTAGAGTTCAGAGTTGAAGGATCTAAGGTCGAGGGTGCTTTCAGGTATGGTTTTGGGATTTCGGAGATTCGGGTTTGGGGCTTTAGGGCTTAGATTGCGTGGTGTTTGGGTCCGATGCTCTTTTGATGGCATGACACATAAGGCTGGAAGTCTCACGTGAACTGGGGCACACGATATACTGGGTCCTTGTTAAGGGATTTAATTTAAGTTACCATAATAGGGATCTATAGTAAATAATATGGTTTCCCTATTATGGTAACTTAAATTAAATCCCTTAACAAGAACCCAGTATAAGCCGCAAGACGTCAGAACCCCACAAGGGCCGCGATCTTAGTTGCCCTCCCAACAAGGGATCCGAATTGAAATACATCGCCATCATTTCACTCTCCAGGCCAAATGGCTGGGACATCTCATCTCGCCAGTGATGGCAAGAGAGGAACTTGCAGAGGGCACTTGAGAGTCCGGGGTCCAGGTATAGGGTTCGGGGTTTCAGGTTGCAAGCGCAGGTCATCGCTACGGATGCCTTGCCCACGGCCGGGAGGAAGGGAGCGAAATGTTGCCCTTCGATTTGCAGCATCTGACCTCGCCATCGTACGGAAGGTTTGGGGCTGCTTTGAATTGAGATTCCCTTGAGGGTTCCGACTTCAGACATGGACTCTTCACACTCCCATCGTCATGAATGTAACTAGTCTGCTTCTATGCTTCTAGCTATGGTGAATGGAGATGAAGACTTCAAGTGGACTCAGAATAAGCAAAACCCTCCGGAAAAGGGCTTCGGGCCCTAAACCTTCATCCGAGCACAGTCTTCCCTCTTCATGGGCCTGTCTTGTAGGCGTAAAGTGTCGTCGGTGTCGCCTCAGCGGATCCCATAAGGTAGGGATATCCCTGCAAACTAATCTTCATTACTTTACTCCTATTTGCAGCACGGAAAGGTCAAACAGCAGCTCTTCCCAGCCGCCAAAAGTGGTCGACATCTCGATTCGTGGCTTACGCACAGAAAGCGACTACAACAAACATGATGCCAGTGAACTACAACCGCAAAAGTGTCGTGCTTGCAACTGCACCGGACCGGCCTGCAAAATGATCGGCTCGTTGACGAACTGGAAGGGCTTCTGGTGTCCCCCACTTCGCGTCCTCCGAGAGCTTAACCCTGGTAAAACAGAAAGCACTAAACCGACTAAACCCTTCAGACTTTGGGTGCCGAAGGCACAGGAAGCACAGAGGGATCTGAGCGACCACCGCAGCCCAGTCCAAACGGCCTGATCAACTCGGGGAAGGCCAGGCGCAACGCCGCTTCACCCGGGCGGTGCACGGCCTGAGCATTCAGGGAGACTACCTATAGTCTCCATTGTAATTCCTTTTTTGGTTTAACCTATTCTGTATTAACGATCCCACAAGGTAACCCCAAAAAGGAACTACAATGGAGACTATGGGTATCGACGAGGGCGCTCAGGACGGCTACGGCTTCCTGGATTTTGGCTCCGGTCGAAAACCCTTGACCCACCCCCTTTCCGACACTACGGTTGCTAAGATAACGCCTGCATTACCCATAATAAGGAATATACCACAATTCCCATAGTTTAGGGTCCTTCAGGTCATGCAGGATTTATGATTATATCATCAAGAGTAGGAGTATCGGACTTCCTATCCACCCCGCACTTCCACTGCACAAGAGCCCGGAACTCAGGGAGATGGAGGAGCTCGGTGCTTGCAGGCACGGTTTAGGGTTTAGGGT